TGACGGGTGAAGAAAACAAACAAAAAAAACTCTAAGCTCTGGCAAACAATGGCGGTGCACCGACTTTGAGTGTGTGAGTTCGGTACATCAGCCCGAATCACTGGCTCGTCGCACTTTGGCACGCCGCCGCGGCATACAGCCGCATGCCACTTTTCAAGCGGTTTGCTTTCACGCCTATCGGTGTCACCCATCAGGAAGGGGTTAAAATGATTAGTGAGTAGCTTGCATTGTCACTGCCTGGATAGGTGCCATTCACCACTTGGGCCCACCCTTGATATGGCTTCTACAGATGCCATGAAGTGTCAGAGTTTAAAGTTCAGACTCCCAGTTTGTGTGAGGACCAAAATCTGGGCATTTTGCTTACTTGAGTGGTGACTCTCCTGTGTGGGAGTGGCTTGTAGGCCTGACCTACTTGAATACCCACTCATGGTATGAAGACTCCTTGCCTCATCCTTGCAATGATATACCATTTATCTGCAGGCACATTTTTTTTTGCTGTTTTGCCATTTTCCATGGTCTAAGGATAAGTCTGATATGAGAAGCTGAGCCTCACCTGGGCTATGCCCATGAGGGGAGCCTGGTCTGTATTGACTAATACCGACTTGCTAGTGTGTGTCAGCTGGTGCTGACTCGTCTTTGTCCTTACCCGTCGTGGTACCCAGCAGTAACCTCCAGGTGACAATTGCAACTTCTCGCGCCTGGGCGGGGCGCGAACCGCCGACCCCTCGTATGAAAAGCCGACACATTACCACTGTACTAGCCTGGAGGCTTCCGTGGTTTATATTTGCCTTTTGTTATGTTGTATCAAGATGGTAATAATTTTCTTTGTTGAGCTAGCTCTATATTATCTCTCCAATTTACAAACTGTGGAATTACTGTATCAATAAGCAACTTTTCGTTTTTTTTTTTGTATTATCAAATTTTCTATAACACATCCTGTGCTGCTGGTAACAAGAATGGATTTTGTGCATACACATTGTATCCTTCCTGTAGCTGGAACTGGCTCTTAGATTGTGCCACTCCGTTTCCCTTTAATGGTGAAAATAATACAATAGCCTCTTTCAGAGCAGGCTGCTAAGTCAATCTCCTTCCAAAGGCTTTATGCACTTACGGTGAGATGGTGACATCAAGAGTAATGATACATCATGATGTATTACCCTACAGTTCAGCGAGATACGAGTTAAAATTTCACACTAAATGCAAAGTAACAATAAAACAATTGTAAACAAAAGGGCATTAAGATCTTGACCTGAAAATGTTAAAATAACTGAGCAACCAAAAAGGACACTTTACCTTCTGGACCTTGGACTCCTTGAAGTCAATCCTGCAGGGAGTGTGTATGACAGCTGTGGTGGTGCCTGTGCCACACTGGCCTGATTTATTATCTCCACAGGCAAACACACTACCACGGTCAGTAAGGAGGAGCGTGTGGTTGCGACCCACCGCAGCCGACACTACTGTGAACTCTGACATTGTGTCCATGGCTACAACGCCAGTTCTGTTTTCTGTGTCACCCACACCCAGTTGGCCCTTCTCGTTGCGACCTGCAAGAAAAAATTGGAGGGTAAGGAACCAGCAATGCTTCTGGTATGGAGAAAACTAGTAGACTGCACTAAAGGGGTTTAAGTGTTAACCCATTTGCGCTTGGTGTCACATATACATGACATGCTCACTATGAGTTTACTTGTTTAATTGTTTTACACATAGATGGCTATACTTGTATTTGTACTGCCTGTCTCACCCGTTTACCCTTTTCTTTAATTCACGAAAATATTTTTTGTTATCTTATTCTGTTGTTACTAATGTTTATAACATTATAGTAATTATAATGTTTATAATAAAAATAACCATCAATATTCATAGCACTAGTAAAAAAATACATTTTCCCGCCAAATGAAATCAGGTATGGCAGAACCATCGATGTGTAGAGACATTTCACAGAGTATAAAAATTGAGCACAGCATTTTTTATTCATTTTTACCCATCGCAAATGGGTTAATAAACATTACAGCCTTGATGATGTGTGTAAACAATGGTACAGACTGTTTTCCAGCTTGTACTGTAGGAATTTTGATAGGGAAGGATAAGATAGTCCAAAGCATTGCAATTTTAACATGGTTAACCCCTTGATGATGGGTGAAGAAAAGAAAAGAAAAGAAAAGAAAAGAACAGAACAGAAAAGAAAAGAACAAAACAGAAAAGAACAGAAAGAAAGAAAGAAAAAAAAAAAAAAAAAAAAAAAAAAAAAAAAAAAAAGGAAAAGAAAGAAAGAAAGGGGAAAAAAAAAGAACTACCGACTCGTAGCGCAAAATTCATATACTGTTCCTGTCAGTGGTTAAGTTGATAACTGTGAAGTTTTCAAATTACTGTTACTCAGGATATTTTTCTGGGTGCTGATGATAAATGAAAATGAGACTTATATTGCTTCTTAAAGATATTCACTTTATAATTAGTTTGAATTAGAACTTTTTTAGCACTTGCTCTGTAATACCACTTAACC